GTCAGCTACGTTACCCACCGAGTGGGCTTCCGACAGGTTGAGATGAAAGATGGGCTGATTAAGGTCAATGGCCAACCAATTGTGCTTAAAGGCGCAAATCGGCATGAGCATCATCATAAGTTTGGGCGAGCCGTTCCGTATGATTTCATGAAGCAGGACCTCCTGCTTATGAAGGCGCATAATATTAACGCCATCCGGACTTCTCATCAACCAAGCGATTATCGTCTTTATGATCTCGCTGATGAGTTAGGCGTATGTTTCTGTGACCTTTGAAATTTGCGTCTCGCTAACGAAAATAGTTCTGGATTATGGATGAGGCTGATCTTGAGTGCCATGGCTTTGAGTCTATCTGTAAGCCTCATACCGGATTCTTATTAAACTTGTCATTCTAACTTGAATGCAGGCGATGCCGCTCTCTCGCCTACAGACAGAGCTCTCCCTTTCCGCGAACGGCAGCTACTAACACGGAGCAGTGCAGCCAAGTGGACTTCAGACAATCCGGCCTGGGAAGAGGCTTATGTAGACCGCGCTAAGCAACTAGTTCGCCGCGACCAAGTTCATCCTTCCGTCATCATCTGGTCTCTCGGAAACGAGGCCTTCTTCGGCCGGAACCACAAGGCGATGAATAAGTGGATCAAGTCGTACGACGACAGCCGGCCTATCCATTACGAAGCCGATATATACGCCGAAACTATGGATATGTATTCGATGATGTATCCGCCAATAGAAACTATCATAGACTTTGCCAAAGACGACTCCAAGAATAAGCCCCTAGTATTGTGTGAATTTATTCACGCGATGGGTAACGGACCCGGTAATATCAAGGAGTACATTGACGCATTTTACGCATATCCTAAGCTTCAAGGAGGTTTCGTCTGGGAGTGGGCAAACCACGGTCTTATAACCAAGGATAAAGAAACTGGCGAGGAGTTCTACGCGTATGGCGGAGACTTCGGCGATATCCCGAACGATAGCAACTTTATAATGGACGGGGTGCTGTATTCCGATCATACTCCGACCCCGGGACTCATCGAGTATAAGAAGGGTCTGGAGCCGATCAAAGTCATATCCTACACGTCGAAAGCCGCGACGGTTATAAATCGCTATGATTTCCTTACCCTCGATCATCTTGAATGCAGTTATGTGGTATTGGATGAGGGCAAGCCTGTGTCGCACGGCACAATTGAGCTCCCTTCAGGGGTAGGACCTGGGCAGACGGGTGCATTGAGACTTCCTCTTAGACCCACCGAATCAGCCGGGGAGGTTATCCTACAACTATCCTTCCGTCAACAACTCGCAACTACATCTCTACCCGCCGGGTTCGAAATCGCCTTCGAAGAAATCCCCCTGAATGTCCCATCCCTCCCTATTCTTCAACCTTCGTCCACGGGCAACTTATCAATCACCGAGACATCGACCCTCCTTACAATTGTCTCCGCAAACACGACATGGTCCTTCTCTCCTATCCTCGGGAAACTTCGTTCCCTCACAAAGAACGCTACTGAGTTTATCGCCTCAAGCCCGGACTTCACCGCGTATCGCGCCCCGACCGACAATGACGCCCCACAGGACGGGAACGACTGGAAGAACAGACTTCTGCATCTTGCCAAGACGCATACACACAGCTGTACCTGGGGTCCCGCAAATGATGGCAATGCGTTCATTGTGAACGTCAAGCAACGGTTCGCGCCACCCGTGCTCTCTTGGGCGATTAACTTGGACACCACGTACACCTTTGCATCCTCAGGCACTCTCGCCATCTGGGTTAAGGGCGTACCAAGCGGGGACAATTTGCCGCGCACATTACCACGTATCGGACTCGGGCTAGAGCTTCCGGGTTTGTGGGCCGGAGGAGGCGGGACACCGGCTGTGACTTGGTACGGCCGGGGGCCGGGGGAGAGTTATAGGGACAAGAAGCTCTCGCAACGCGCCGGATTATACAAAGTCGATACTGTCGATGAACTTTGGATCGAGTACGAGTTCCCCCAAGAGGGCGGCAATCGGACGGATACGCGATGGGTTCGGTTTACGCATGCCGGAGGTGAGGCTGTTACGGCGCGGTTTAGGGACCTAGAGACGGGCGAGAGGAAATTATTTGATTTCAACGCGTCGCATTATCGCGTCCAAGATGTGGAGGCGGCGAAGCATCCGTATGAGCTGCGAAAGAAGAAGACGGAGAATGTGGTGGTGAGGCTAGATGCTGCACATCATGGATTGGGGAGCGGATCGTGTGGGCCGAGGACTAGGGAGGAGTATTCTTTGTTGACTGGGGATTTTGAGTTTGAGGTCTTGTTGGATTAGACAGTTACTTTGGTTTTGCGGCTTGTCGCATCCGTGAATGGGTTTTGTATGGCCCTGGTTGGCTTTACATATACCCTATTCTCATTCACTGCCTTGTGTATGTGGGACTACTAGAGTTAACATTCAGAAAAAAGTCCTATCATCGCGAATTCCTTTTTAAATTCAAACATAATCGTGTTTACTCAGGTAAATACCTACCTACCTAGGAATGATGCTACATTTTTCGCTATTTTTCTTGTTATATTCTATTATGTATATGTCAGTTTTAGTAGTTGTTGAAGCTTTTAGTGACCACCGCGCTAGGATCACGGCCCTAAAATTTAGTGGATAACCGCTATGGCTCGTGCTATTCAGCCACTATCATCAATTAAACTGGCCCAATGCTAACCTCCGTCTCAACGCTCCAGGGCTAACTACGCGTCTTCAACCCCTTTTTAATCGTATCATATCTCTCGTTAATCAGCTACACTAATAAAGTATCAATCTTCCTATGAATAACAAGGTAGATGGAGATAGGATAGGCGAACGTTTTAGCTACCATGTCTATCTATATCATGTTATAAAACTTACTATTTCTATGAAGAGATAACTTCCGAAGTTTTTTTCAAAATCTAGAAATACGTACCTCGGTAGGTAGATACCGACGTTACAGCCATATTGGATGGACAGCTATAGCCACATGGCTTTAATATTGAGTACAATTCGTTGATACATGCTCGCAACTTCTATCATTCTTTTGAAATATCATCATCAGCGACATTTTTAAAGGAGATAAATGTTGTAATTCCGCACCTTCCATGTTAAGTCCTTTAAACCCACCTGTGCCGCCCACTAACCCGCCAACTCTTTCCCCCTCCTCATGGGTCGGTACGATGTAACCAATAATCATGCGACAAAAAATGACAATACTTCAAGCTTACTTCACCAACATCACCGTTATAGGCGATCTCTAACCCAAGTGGAACTGGCGCTTAATTCATCCTGTTGGTTTAGTGTGTGCATTGAAGAGGGAAGTTTTGTGGGAACGAGGGTATAAGTATGGTCACTAACCAACACTGAAAATCTCTGCCAACTCAGACAAGAACAACAAATACCTAAAGTGAGAAATAGACACTGTACCCTTATTATAACTCACCTGTTCAAAAAAATCTCCTGAAGCGCAATGGCTCCATCTCGAGAACAACTTCTTAAAATCACGAACCTCTTCTTAGATTCATTCAATGAATTCACTCCTCAGTCAGTCGTGAAGTATCGCAGCTCCAACTGCCGATGGCGGATACTACCTGAAAGACTTGAACAACCACCGCAAAACAACACCGAATATGCGAATATGATAGGTTCACTGCAGGATCTCACGCCATCGTTTCGTGTATACATAGTCGAGGGCTTTGAGCCAGCCGTCGACGTAGTCACCAGGCAGGTCACCCTTCACGTGAAGTCGCACTCCGACACGAAAGTTGGGCTCTACCAAAACGAATACGTTTGGGTCATAACCTTCAATGAGGAGGGTACGGAAATCGTGGATGTTCTCGAATTTGTGGATAGTTTGTATATGAATGAGTGGTTTCCGAAGCTCATCAAAGCGAGTGAGGAGTTCGCGAAGAAACAAGGTCAATCATAAGCTTAAAATAGGAGTTGTAGACGAGTAAACACTCAAGTACGGGAGGGTTTTTGTCTTGGATGGAGTGGAAGGAAGACCACGACTGTCTATATTCTTTAGACCCTCGCTACGCCAAATCCGTAGATAGAAATAAACATCAAGAAACATTTAGCATACATAACGAACTAAGCGTTTTTCGACGTGTTGAAATCAATTTCCCATATCTTACGTAGCATGACCTACATTTGAATCGGCTGAGAAAAAAAGGGGGGAAGGGGTTGGTTACTATTACCAAGAAAAAAATAAAAAGGAAAGCGATACGGCCACCGAGGGAATCGAACGCTCAAGTAAGAGCTCGCCGGAGAAGCTAGAGCTATAGCAATATCATAGATTGCAAGCACCACTGTACCAACCCGGCCATTATGTCCCATCTCATAATAGATCATTATCTTATTAGACCTTCTTTTACTATATATGTCTAAGAGGTTGTTAACTAGGAGAAGTATAAGATTAGTACCTATTTTCGAGCATTGACCGAGCCTAGTACTGTGTATGATCACTTTAGATTATGTTCTTAGTCTTCAACCACTGTGTATTAGTTCAAAGTGACAAATGACTTCTAGGAGTAAGACTTCACTCTAGGGGAATACTCACAGAACCCAAACACAGTTTTCTCAGTTAATATACTCCGGACCTTATGAGTATACACCATTTCCAGCGGATATAAACCTCCGTTGACTTTCCACAAGCAACGATAATTGGCATCCCATGTTCCACGAGATGCACAAAGATGTAACCATATGATGTTGATTTATAAGCTTTGTGGCAGCAATATTAAGTCATGAGGCATCTAGAATTTTGGCCGTGAGTTTATAGAAATGCCTGAAGATCATATTCACTTATACCAGGCGAAAGAAAAGGTAGTTGATGTTAACTTCAGGGGTATGCCATACTGCAGATATGCCAGAACCTCCATCAGAGAATGGTGAATATGTTATTCACTATCATAGCCTACGCGTAATACAGCTGGACCCTTATCCACCAACCCCCCAAAAAATTGATTCGAAGTATCTCCTTAGAAGAGATGCATCGGGAATTGAGCCCGATGCGGGGGTCGAACCCGCAACCTTGAGATTAAGAGTCTCACGCTGTTTGAGCAGTTAGTATCATGTATTAAAGAACGGGTAGCATGAAAATTCACTAACCTCTACCGATTGAGCTAACCGGGCTGATTCCGGACTAAGCGGACGATGAATTACACCACGACCAATAGCAAATCTTATACCCCAGTTTTGCAAATTTTTCAATGACTAATACTGTCCACTTATCTAGTTGCACGGGGTCTTTGACATTACATGCTTTCTTGAGAACTGCTCAGATATATACTTGGGTAGGTAGGTAGGTAGGTAGATACCTATAAACCTGGTAAGTGGTGTATTATATTATCCTTAACTAGGCACTTTATGCTTCTAATATTATACTCTCAAGTAGATTGCTTGGTAATCTATAAAAGAAGGATCCTTTTAACCTACGAGAATTATTAAAATAGGTCGTCTTTTGAGCTATTCTTAGATATATAATAGATGAAAACTACTCGACCAAAGGAAAGTGTTGTATCTCAATAGATTTTGAATACATGGGAAGGGGCTGATAAATAAGAACGGGCTTATAAGTGCTTAGATATTTATCAAAACTTGTTTCCCTACGAGAATGATAATACACCTGTATGATTTGAGTGATACAATCAATACATGATGTCTATGGTGATACCAGAAGCATTCCGGGGGCAAATCTTTGTTAGCCATATAAATATTTTCCTGCACGCCGAAACTTAGCAGTCCCTAGCCACTAAAAGAATGTCTAAGATCCCGTTGAAGAGGGACCAGAGCAATGAATTATACATAACACGAATATAATGTTCTGATGTCGTGACATTTTTCATCAACCGACCAATCCTGTCATGGATAGCTCTTGGATGTCGACTGTATCACAGGGTAAGAGATAGAAGAGATAGCACCCAGCAAGAGTTTCTCTAGCACATCGTGGTTAGACGATATCGACGTATTAAAACCAGAGCCCCTTCTAAAACTCAATTAGGGGTATAATACCTCTGTAATACCCGTCCGAAAACTCCTTGGTGGAGTTCACATGGATCGCGTTATGTGAATGCCCCTAAAAGTCTTCTAGTCCTGTAACCTTCCAAGGTTGATAGTCTGCCATTATAATAATAATAACAACACCAAACAACTATTATAAGTACTGGGCAGGGAATAAATATTATGGCAATTATAATTGATAAAAAAAGAAGTGACGGATGAAGTTTGGACGTTTGAAGGATTATGTGTGGTGAAACGTACGGACCTGTTATGTAGCATACCCGCCAAGGTAACTGCCTATTCAGGGAGCCAGGAAGGCGGTCATGGGAACGAGATGGACGAAATCTCGATGATAGTATTTACCTCGGAAGGCTAATAGGTTTACTCGGGTAAGTATTACCTAGGATAAATAAAATTATACCCTTATTTTGAACGAGACCGCCTACCTAGTGGGTAGGTACCAAGCAGCCAAGTAAGCAGGCGGGTGATTTTTCTACTATTACTAGGCGATCTCCGATCTCGATGATCGCGTTAATATGTGTAGGATCTTCATGGGCCCAGATTGGTATACGTTCATGTTACGCGCGAGAACACGCTAGATTAAAATTTATGATTGTGTAGAGCTCCAGGCCCCTTTTACTTAACTAAATTGTGATATATTCCAATATCGGTATCGTCTGCGGTGGCAAGACAAGGGCGGGCAAGGTGTTTGTCCCTGTCGATCGTGAGGGAGACGGTGATGAATGGAGTTAAGGAGAGTTGTACGATTCGCATTTGGTATGTTCTCAAGATTTGCAGAGGGGTGGGAGTTGATTATTGAATATCGCCACTTGTGGGTCCACGTCTCCCTATCGTGATAATGCGATGCGACACTTCAACACCAAAGATATTATCGTCAAATGAGAGGAGAGTATGAAATAATAATATAGATATAAAACTAGTTACCCATATAAGTAGCGTTATTTCCAGAGGTACTGCTCGTGTTTGCGAACGTCCAGTAATGGTTTTAAATGTTTCAGGTAGAGATCGCAAAACGCCGACGAGGAACTTCACCAATTGGAGCTGAAATGATATAATTACGTAAGTGCATCCCAACTTGAAGTTCTGAATTATTTTTGGCATCGTTGAAAACATTTGGTACATAGAAATATGAATATTAGATTATATTAAATGGGCTAATTGCCAACTTGACTCGTTTGTTACTCGCAGGATTGTCAAAGTAAGGATATCCGCACCTCGAAATTGTTGGTTACATAAGGAAACCCTAGGATACCAATCAGTCAATGTGGTGAGATTATCACGAATGGGCCGATGTAGATCCGTAAGAAGATCCGCAGGAAAGATACGTCACCCAAGGCCAGGCAACGTGGAGAGGGCTGGCGTGGGAGGTGAGATTGTTAAATGATGAAAAGTTACAGGTGGCAGATGGCAGATAACGTCGATTCCCCCCCAAGTTTGAGATGCGCGGAAAACGGTCTTTTTAACATCGTTAGATCGTGCCGCTAGGATCCATGGATACCCCTTCTGGGATTCTATCGTGGGCTGCGTGGGTTATGGAGGTTCGATGGCCGAATATGATTCATACGGACACATAATAAAACCATCGCATTGAACTCGCGAGCATCATGGATGGTAATAAATATGTGGACGAGATGGCGCTTAGTCCTTGGTCAACTGACATACCGGGCCGTCATCGTGACAACGTGAAATGCGAAGAATCGAAATGAAGAAAATGGTCAGAGCAGAAAAGAACCGGAAGTGTGCCGGGATTTATTAATCCGGTCCAAGCTTTCCAGTGATCGCGATGACCTGCAAATCTAAGATCAAGAGGCTCCTACCCCGGAGGGTGAACCGAGTGAGTTGCTTAGGCTTGCCTTCTTTGGGTTACCCATCGTATGACTGGCTGAGGTAATGCAGACATGGATGCTGCATGGTAGAAGATTCAGGGACCTTCAAAACTGCAAGGTTTGCAGGGTTTGCTACCTTACCCTTCCTCAATTCACGCCCCTTCTTTGATAGCTGAGGTCGTACGTATCCGTAATTGGTCAAGTCTAAGTTTTAGATCCACACCTCTAGTGTACTTGAGTGTAACGCGCAGGGGAAGGTCTGGGCCCCGTACCAAAATAAGAATAGGACCCCTAGATCGGCAAAGGTACATTTGTACGATGTTAATCGTTGCTCCCGATTCTCAGAAGGTGTACTGGAGCCATCGATCGGAGACGCAACTCCTAAATCTGAGAGTGAAGGAAGAGAGGCGATGCTGGGCGGGCCAAAACCCAACCCCGGCCCCATCTGCCTTCCGTAAATCTCGATGCAAAAATACGATTTTTCTCATGCGTCGCTTCTCAAACATGATGAATTTCTCCATATATTGGCAAGAGCAGCATTTACCGTAACTAGACGCGCGTTTATTTTCCCTTAAAATCACTATTCCCTAAACGTTATCAAAGGTGAAGCATTGAAGCATTTCTTACTGCTACAACACTTTTCACCCACATTCTCACGATTTCACGATTCCCACGATCCACGATCCAACCCCAACTACCCAACCAAAAAAAACCACTAAACGAGTTAAAACGAGTTCCCTTGACGGAACACGACCGCATCACCCGCATCGATTCTTTTATTATACATAATAATACTACCAGACTACATATTCTACTGCATCTTTGAAAATTGACCTTGGACCTTTTCTCACACCCAATACACCCAGTACACCCTTCCGGTCCTATTGTCCCATTCAATAATACATCTACTCCATTCGCCGGGAGACCCAATCCTCCCCCAATCCACCCAAGTCGACCAAAGTCGACCAAATACGAACTATACCCTAACTGCCTAGTCTCTTTAAACGGAGCTAAACTAGGCCAAGGGGACTTTACCGTAGGTATGACGTTGCATCGTCAACTTTTCACGAATCCAGCCCCCGTTTCGCTTACGGCAAGCCTGCACCCTTAACAACATCCCGCAGGCATGCTTCTACTACATTCTTCTACGTCCCTATCAGATAATATCGTCAGCCCATTCGCTACAACTAAATACGTACTTGCGCCTCTGCCAGCAAGCCACGATGCGCCGTCCACCCTCCTCTTCCTAACTCCTACGCCTAATAATACCATTTCTCCATTTCACAATATTCCATTTGAATTAATTCTTTTATTTTTCTCTTGCCGCAATAGCCACTAACTCGACATGAAATTAGAATATATTCGCTAGCGACTATGTTGCCGCTGGATTTCTTCTCTCTATTTACATGATTAATTGAATTTTTACTCTCCGAAATATTACCAGTATACGAAGGTATAAGTCGATGTGAGCACTATGCCCGAATCCAAGAATGTGCCGGCGGCTTCTAGGCCTCCACCCGTCACATACAAAAACCCGAGACGAACAACGGCCGAAACGTCAATTACTCTGCAAGCACACCGCCTAGCTCGGGCAAAAAATGCATCTCCCGGCATTGCTCACTCGACGCCTAGAAGAAATTCGTCGGGCGACAGTAACGAAACAGGACAGAGCGCCAAGAATTGGTTCGAAGCGTCGAATAAGAACGCTATGGCCAACATGGATACTAGGGCGATGGATCTCGATCCTCCATTTTACCAGAAAGAAACCGACGAGTCCAATGAAGATGCCGCGAAATACGGGGTGTCTTCGCACAGCCCAGCATACGAGTTTATTCAGAGCCGTTTACCGGACTTTCGAGCTGGAGTAGACTCTTCTAATGAAGAATTCCGATCAGTCATAGACGATCTTACCATTGAGAACAAGCGTCTGAAGGAGGAATTGAGGAAATATAAACAAATGGGACCAGATTCGATGCGAAGAGACAAGCTATTCGAGGTCAAGGTCCACGGTCTATCCAGCAGGAAGAAGCGAGAACTAGAGGCTGCACTACGAGATTTTACGACCGGCCTCGAGGATTCGAGTACCGGAGCCTCTCCAGGCCGTAAGAAGACCTCTAACAAGTCAAAGAACATTCATTCGTCGCTCTCCAAACATGCATCCTCATCTTCAGGGACGGGATCGAACTCGAAACCCGTGGATTCGGCCTACGCATCTATGTCGACCGGTCCAAGTTCCTCCGTACCATCACTGCCCGGCCAAGCTAAAGCTGCACGGCAACGAAATGA